TAATACTTTGGAAAATATAGCGTTTTAAAAACGAATGAATCATTTATAGTAGCCCTGTATTAGGAGAGTAAAATAGGAGGTAAAGTAAGAGATAATCAGAAAATTGATGGAAGGGCTGCTGAAAATCAGCAAATTTTAAGACTGAGAATAAGTCAGTACTCTACTGACACTGGCCTTACATAGAGAGGCTATGAGGACGGGTGCTGAACACCAAAGACACAGGATCGTGTTCCTCATCTCCTACATGCGTGCTGCTGAAGTGTAAGGCTGGGGTCAGCAACCCACACCGATGCCACCAATTTGGCGTGCCCTAGCCGTCGGTCTCCATCTCAATCTATATCGTTTGGTGGACAGACGCCCTAAACCCAAATGCTGGTCTCCATTTACCGTGCATCCTCCAAAATTTTCCTGAGGCCACCTTTGCTTAATTTTCCGAAATCCATCCCCCATTCACCTGACAGTATTGCCGCCACTTTTTGAGGTTACCTGTCTGGGAACTTTCCCCGAATTATCGTCCTTCCAGGACAATTTACAGGATGGTTCTCAACTATTTTAGGGGTTCCCGTGGTTTATAAACTGAAACCCCGACAATAATTTAGACTCACTCTGTACATAAAGTGGCTGGCTTGTTTCATTCCAGACTTATGACATTGCTTGGTGACAGAGAAAGAGATAAATTAGACGGTTATCTGCTCTTAGGACTCGCATTATGTTCCAAGTCTTAGGGGTATGGTATGTACACCTTGACGCGAATCTAACTGCTGATTATAAATTATTGAAATACTCACATCAGAGTTTGCACTGTTCCATTTTCTGCTGGACGAGCTAACCTTCAGTGCAAATTCGCTAGACTCTTAATTTCGTGAACTGCTTTTATTTCAATTGTATACAAATTCAGCTCCATTTACCGCAGACGCTAGTGGCCTCTGTAGTCTTGGGGTAAGGTTCCCACCTCATGACTCAAGATACGCGGGCGGAAAAATTCAGGGAACAAGTCCTCCGAGCGGGACTTTAAGCCGTGGGTCCCATGTCGTAGATTTACTGCACGTAAAAGATCCTCATGTCTCTAGGAGACCTCTGAGCAAAACTGGGCAAAAATTTTCCCACCCAAGCAGTTCCCAATGCCTCTGGTAGATGGGGCAAGTATCAGGTACCGATGGCCGACCTCGTTGGCTGAACGGGGCTGATAGCACGCATCAGTACCGGTAGGGTATGGCGACTGGTAGAATATCAAAGGGGGACGTACAATAGACTATTAGTCGCGGTCCATGGGGAAACCCACCCCCTCTAATTCAATTCAATTCAATTCTTTATTATTTATGTGCCAAGTCAACAGCCGCAAGGTCAATAATAATAATAATAATACCGCAGACGCTGGAACCGAGAGGCGGACTTGCATGGATCTCCCTTATTCTACGGATAAAAAACTCGTCAAGACAGTGAGAACAATCCTCCTGAAACTTGGAAAGCCGTACTGGGCTTCTTAAAGATATTTTGCGTGGTGTCAGCGAATGCACTACCACATGAACAGCCGCGCAGTCTCCTTATTCCAAGGGGTTTCTTCATAAAAGCTGCATACCGATTCAATCTGATGCGGTTTCACTATCCTAACGCAGATCTGTGGTTCACTTTGCAACGCTGTCCCTGTGCAGGACATACAGTGTCGAATTGTATGATGATTGGTGAATAATGAGCTGGAAATGTTTCTGAAAGAACTTAATGAAATATTGTTCCGTGACTTTTCTGTAGGGTCTGAAGTAAACAACAAACTTCTCAGACAATGAAGCCTATGCCGTTGCTAATTTTCGACTCCAGCACCACCCAAATACATGTCTACAATTTACCTCTACATTCCCGTCCTCGGTATAAAAATAGTGTCCGTTTTAGTGGCTAAATGATTTAGCTACCCACAATACAATTTTCTCTACCATCCTGTTAGTTTCTTATATGCAGCTATGCTCCTAGCAGCATTTAAAACATACTCTATGTTTTTTAACATGAGAGATCAAGATTCGCTGCGACACGGAACAACAGGCAAAGATACAGCAAAATAAAATATTCTTAAATTAAATTTCGAAAGATGAACAGGGTATGCTAATGTTGCGTTGTTTCTAACTGAACCTCGTTCTTGTAATTCGTACCTTCAAATTCCTGTCTTCCGGAAACTGTCCTTCCTTAATTCCATTCAGCAGTTCTGGAACATGAAACAGAGAAGCTGTCTGTACCAACACTTTGATTATGTCTAATTACTTAATATGTAACTCTGGCTGCAATAAGAATATAATAATAAGATCCTTAGATATTTCCTCGTTTGAACTACTTAAATCGTCTTAAAGCAGAGAACTCGAATGCTTCATGAGGAGTCATTCATATGAAACAATCCACCCTTCACAAAAACACCGCCACTCAAAGCTGCGTCAGAGTGCGCTGAAGAAGGCATTTGCCCTTTAAATCCCGGTGTGTTTCCTGAATAGGATTTCATTCCTGGGGCAGACCCCGCTACAGGGTGTGCTACAGTGTAATTGGACAAATCTATCCTCATCAGAGGAGGCATTGACTCCGGTCATGAAAGGAGTGACACTTGTTCCAGAAGAGACCGTGACTGCAATGGGGGAAGCGTCGCTGTTGCTGTTATTTCACTATTTCTGTCCATTTCTGGCTAACTCCAAGGAAATTTATAATTGAAGAGATGGAAGAAATAAAAGGGAAATACAAACGGGAAGAGAATGTTAAAAAGAGAGAATTGAAAGTGATGAAGAGACTTCGATGAAACGTCATTTCTCGGACGTCCCAGTTTTACAAACATAGAAGCTGTTGACGAGTCTCTACTGTGTTATGATAGAGAGAATTCTGAAGATGTCAGCACCTTGTCCCACCGAACAAATGCAGATGATATTTGTCACTTGTGTAGACAATTTTGCCACAACAGGGCTTATATACTTATTTTACTTTACTTACGACAATTCTAGATTACTTCGTTAATGATAAATTGTAGACAGTTACCAGCAGTGTGTTACCTGTTGATGCTCCTGACTTTTGCTGACATGTGTTCCTGATCACTTTCATCCCTTGTTTTAACTGCGCCTGCGTCATCGCCTGCAAATTTTCAGATGAAAAACAGACGCTCATATTAGTGTACTGCGTGGCCATCTAAGTGTTACGTCTACATTTATTGAGTCTATAAAGATCTGTGAGGATAGCTGATTCATTCTATTAATTATACTATACATTCCCGTTGTGTGACTCGTACTTTACATACACGACGTTTCGGTATTTCACTAAACTGCCGTCTTTATGTGTCTACATTCCAATCGTGAGTTGCATTTTACATATATCACGTTTCGGGAATTCGCTAACACCCATCTTAAAGTAAGTTCTGTGCTCAAAATGGAAATAGGCGCTGTGCGTGTTTTCGACATTGGTTATTTTCTGTTTGACATATATCATTGAAATTAATATTAATTTATTTCTAATACAAATATATTATATTACTTACTTACTTATTCTTGGAGCTGAGCCCTTCTGGAGGAGCCGCCAATTCTGCAGCTACTCAAGAATTTCCCAGCATTTTATAGAAACCGAATGTTCATTACCGTGTTCACAAGAGCCTTCCACTGGTCCGTATCCTGAGCCAGATCTATCCAATCCATACCATCCCATCCTATCCCTCTAAGATCCATTCTAATATTGTCCACCCACCTACGCCTTGGTCTTTTCAGTGGTCTCTTTCTTTCTGGCTTTCCCACCAATATCCTATACGCATTCCTCGTCTCCCACATTCATGCTACATGCCCTGCCCACCTCATCCTCCTTGACTTGATTATTCAAATGGCCGTTGTAATGGCTTTATATTAGTAATACAAATATATTATATTACTAATATACGAGTAAAGCCATTACAACGGCAGTAAAACGAGAATAAACAGAATTGCTTATGCCATGTTCATGTCTTGCTGACAGAAATCTGTGATTACTCATACACAATTATATATTCTTCATACGATATAGAGAAAGAGTTCTTTTCAGTTTTTTGACGCCTCTTGGTCTTTATCTTCATTCCCTGTTTATATACGTAAATAGTCAATTTCAGATACGAATTAGGTAGAGAATAATAAACTCAAAACCAGGATGGATTAATAATGTAACTGAGTTCGGCGTTTACATGTAAGTTAAAATTTGCTATTGGAAATGAAGAGCAAACTACTACATTTAAGTTGTTATTCTTGTGATTTATTAAATGTAAACATATCGATAAATTATGAATTACGTCTCTGTAAACACAGGATCTATACGGTGCCACATCCAAGAAGACGGCATTCCTCATAGTCACCGCCGTGAAAATCTAAAATATTACATATCATTAAATGTTCCACAGAAAAGTTCTAGACCACGAATAGCTCTCTAAGTCAACTTGGCCGTGATACAGCTCAGGCTGTTGGTCATCGGCTTCTCACTGCGGAGACTGGACTGTCCGAGTTCGATCCAAGATGAGGTCATTTGGGATTTTTGATGGAAATATGTCACAGTTACGGACTGTTTTATCCGAATAGTTAGGTTTCCTCTACCGCCTGTCACTCAACCAACCACTCCACAATAATTATTCAGCCTACCATCGGCGCTACATAACCTCCATACTGAAATCGTTGTTAAAGTAACCAACGTAAAAAAACATAAAATTCAATTTTATGTTAAGCACAAATTGTTTTTGCGAATAATTGTTTTTAGGAAAATCTGCAACTTCCAGTATCGGTTTTACTAAACAGGGGTTTAGAATTAACTGAAATAAACCAAAATTTGTAAGCTTACAAAATTTAATGCAGATTCCTATATAAAATCTTATTGAAATCCGTCATTTTTTTTCGGATATGAGTGTACATGATCTTCGGAGCCGCGTTCATGTTATACGCCTTATTCAAACGTTAAGTAAGGAGAATATAGACTGAAGGATCTTCTCCAACTTCTTCCATTAATTAGACCTAACAGACAAATCCACCCCACTTTATTGCCCTAACTTTCAGGAAATACTCGAAAAACTCATGGCGAGGACTTCTCTGTTTGTCCCCCGTTTGTCCAGGTCTCATCGCTGAATCCACCTATAGGATTTCGATGATTTTTAGACCAACTGTAATGGTAGCCAATCGAATTTAATTTTGGTTCGTATAAGTCAAATGAAAACCCCGCTTTTACGTGAAGCTCGCTACAAATTTATTGGCTTTTCTTTTGACATTTCCGTTGTTTGAAGAGGACAGACATAGGACGTATCGGAGCGCTGCACTCTCACCGTAATCAGCTACAGAAAAAGCTTACGTACCTTCCTTTTCTCATAGATAAACCTATTTCTTGTCTTTTTATTAGTGAATGCATTCTGTTGTGTATCATATATTACTTCTTAACAAAAAAAAAGTCAAAAGTATCTCCCAGAGCTACTTACACGTATTATTGATTGTTGTGTTGTGACAGTTTTTAGTAAGAAATACAATTTCTTGTCATTATGGCGTATTCTTTGACTTATTCTTTACTTTTCCGAAATTCATCATATTTTAATGGTAGGTCAGGTGACAGGTGAGTAGGTTAATGATTAAAATCTTATCTCTAAACGACGGAAATTTCACCCATTACAAGAAATTTGCTGTCTAATGACTCTAATCTTCTTGCTAATTTTTTTTTTCCTTGGCACTACAGCCCCAGTGGGCCTAGGCCTACCTCCATGAACTCCGTTCACTTCGGTTTTTCTAGATCTTACACATTCGGTAGGACTCCTTGGGCGGGTGATCAGCTCGTCGCAAGGCCTCTACCTGTAGACAAACACAGAAAAAGGCACACAAACATGCATGCCCTGAGTGGGATTCGAACCCACGATCCCGACTTCCGAGCGAGCGAAGACAGTGCATGCCTTAGACCGCTCGGCTACCGTGACCGGCAATCTTCTTGCTAATAGCTTCCACTAATGTCGGGATAATGCACTAATAAGTTGATGTGGCGGTATCTGACTTCCTAATAATATAACCGAATGTTTATAATTGGTTACATGACGTTTCCCCGGAGATTCGCTTTAATATTAATGCATACCATTCTCTGAAATACTTGTATATAGATAAACTATACGTACATGTATGTTTCCCAAACAGCTCCATATTTTCAAAACTCCAACGTCAAAAAGAAATTATCTGAGATTTGTGGTTTTTATGACGGTGAAATTTTATGTTTCTAGTTGTGTCTGTATAAAGGCTCGAAGATGGGTAGCCTAACAAATATTTTGAACAAAATATTGCTTCCATCTTCAGGATATATTTCGGGAAACAATTATCAGAATACAATATGTTATACCTCGGAAAATCTCAATCCATACCCAGAAGAAGATGGTTTTATCAGTGTGTTCCACTTACAGCAGACGCCTCCGTCAAGACGAGAACCAGGACGAAAACACAGACAGATACATTCACAGACTGATCCGCCATGATTTCAGGGCCTCAATGTCCACTTGTGATTGCCGTGGCGCACAAGAATCGGCAGTTGTTTTATACTGTGTTAATGGATTTAAAATCTGCAAGAACTTTAATTAATATCTGCGTTCGCAAACTTCCGGTACATAACGACTTGCAGACTCAAATTTTCTTCTCCATCCAGGCGTTTCAGGGACTGCAAATTACAAGTCTACTCTTCTCTTAATGAACTTCTAACTACTTCAGATCACACAGTACGTCAATCATCGTGGCAGGCACTCGGATGCGGTCTGACCGGGGGCTACCAAATAGACTAGCGGCACTGAATCTTCAGACACGGATAACCCACACTGAACACACATGACTTTTGGAATGATTCTCTGCTATTTCGGACCCCTCATTAACGTCTTCATATTTATTTATTTATAGATTTTGTCTGTATAAATAATCAGACTTATAGATAGTCCCGTAAATATGTAAGGGTTACGCATGGGGGACACACGGTAGCGAAGTTGGTTGAGGCACTATGCTACAAGCCGGAAGGTCGCGAGATCTAATCCCGATGAGGTCATTGATTTTTTCAATTTACTTAATCCTTCCAGCCGCACTATAGCCCTGGGGTCGACTCAATCTCTAACAGAAGTGAGTACCTGGAATATTCTTGGGGGTAAAGGGTGGCCTTGGCGTAGGGCTGACAACCTTACCGCCATCTTTGAGCCGATTGTATAGAAAATGTGGGAACATCTCACAACCCTATGGGCCTTCAAGGCCTATTACAGGAATACCTTTACGTTTTACTTTTTTTTAAGGGTTAGCAACGGATCCATATTACGGGTAATAGTGTACAGTTTGGACAAAATTGTAAGCAGCATATATAATTTCCACACGTCTTATTAAGCTGGCTTCTACAGACTAAAATGGAAAAATTCTGACAGTTCTTATTGCGTCAGTACCAAATTAAAAACAGTTCGCCAAGCAGTGTGCGTGTTGAAACCTGAGTATGAAAGAATTGAATAGTCTTCAGTTCTATAGAATGATTTTGATTACCCCGTCCAGTCTGACTCAAAAGNATATAAATATAAAGGTTTTAAAATTAGCTAAAATGTGGTGAGTTAAAATATTAATAAAATTTATATTATTTAAAATCTTCGTGTTCCTTCTATCAAGGGAGATTGAGCAGATTTCCGCGCTTGGAGGTCCGGGCAGTTATCTTTCCCTCCTTCTTTATATATATGTATAATTGGTTAAGGGTCTGTGTTTGTTGTTGAGCTGCTTCTCCTTTCGTTGTTTGCTAGGCACTCAAGTACAAGTTTTTCTGTAACATACTGGCTTATAACTAAAATATGAAGTCTGTAGTTCATATAGTCTTGTATATTATAACGCTAGGAAAATTCAGTACATTCAATGAAATATTGCCATAAGAGCAAGCACAGTGTTCGAAGTGTTTAGTAGAGAAATTATACTAAAATTACAGATATGTATAGCTTCGTGTTAACTGAAAGAAATTATTGGCAGGGAAGTAATATATCTGGGATATGCATAGCTGTCTACAGGAGAACTTTTCTCTACTCTTCACTCTTCTTCTCCCAACTTTCCTGAAGAAGTTCTGATGTTCAGTCAAGCGAAGAAGAAACACTGAAAAAATTCATGAGACACAATTAGAATACAGAATATAATCATATAAAACATACTCACCTAAGTACGGAAGAATTAACAACAAAGTCACCCCTGTAACAGGCCGTGAAGGCCCGTAGGGTTGTGAGACGTCAATGCTCCCACATTTTCTACACAAACAGTTCGCAGACAGCGGTGAGGATGTCAGCCTTACGCGCCGGCGTCCCTTTACCCCCAGGAAGATTCCTGGTGCACATTCCTTATATAGTCTAAGTCGACCCCAGGGCCACAGTGTGGCTGGAAGGATTAGGTGAATTGAAAATCCAGTGATCTCTTCGGGAATATAACCCGCGACTTTCCGGCTTGTAGCATACTGCCTCAAACAACTGCGTCACCCCGTATCCCAAATATAATCAACACAATGAAATAAACTAAATATAGTTAGATGGTAATATTCATCTTTTTCTAATCTTGTTTGGGGCACTATGCTACAAACCGGAAGGTTGAAGATTTGATTTTTGATGATTCCTTTGAATTTTTCAATTGACCTAATTTTTCCAGCCGCGCTATGGACCTAGGATCGACTCAGCCCCTAACAGAAATGAGTACCAAGAGTCTTCCTGGGGGTAAAGGGCGGCCGAGGCATAAGACTGACAACCATACCGCCATCTGTGAGCCGATTGTCTATAAAATGTGGGAACCTCAACGTCTCACAACCCTGTGGGTTACCACGCTCCGTTAAAAGAATGGCTTCGCCTTGATCTTTTCTTGATCATTTAGTCGGATATAAGTTTTGCTATTTCCTCTGTAAACTACTTTATTAATTAAGAGGTTAATTAACTAATGTGAACGGAGAAGTTCATGGAGTAGGCCTAGGCCCACTGGGGCTGTAGTGCCAACGAAAAAAATAGCTAATAAATTTATTGGGAACCTACCTGGATATCCGTACTAATAACCTACACATTGAAAGGGTAGCTGTGTATATGTGTGCATGGGATTTTCTTCACATCATGGCCTCCTGATCTACCATTAAATAGGCAGGAACAATAGAAATCTTGCATGGAGATTCAAGGCCAAGGGATTAAGAGTCACATAAACATATCTTAAAAGCTTTTTTATGTCTCATTTCTTATTTTTCACTACATGTTTCAGCCGCTAATGTTGATATTCGTGTGGCCGTCGCAATCAGCCGAACACATTTGGATTGTGAGTACAAATCCATAAAAATAAGAGTATTTATAAGGATTTAAGTGAAATAATAATCATTTAGGGCAGATCCGACTTAATTTGCAAGGCCATAAGTATAAGAATGATAGTGCTTGGCTAAATACAAGTATTTTCCGGAATATTATTAGTTTATTAAATGGTAAGAACTTTCATAGTTTTTATTTATTTAGTTAGAATTATCTTAAACTTCTTACAATATAAAGTTATAATGTGGTATAAAGGGATCAAAAAAATTATATACAAAAAGTAAAAGCATGATATAATAGTATGAACTGCCAAATTGTATAACGAAAATTTCTAAGTAAGATGAGTATTACTCAACAAATATTTAAAGAAATCACAAGCATTTTAGAGTATTTATATTCAGAATCCTTAATACCGTGAACTTATAAATTAAGTCGGATCCAACATAATTTACTATTATTTATCTACATTTTTATACAGATCCATATTTTTAATAAATATGTACTTACGAATTTTATGCATTTTGTTGATTTTTGTATGTCACGAGATGATGTCAGTTCATGGTCGAATCATGCAATGTGTAATAAGGAGTAAGAAACGAAAATTTTCCTTAATTTAAGTGTGTGACGGTTAAACGTACGACTCGAAATAAACTAAAATAGGGTACAGTCCATAAAAAGAAAGATTATAACTGAAGGGGCCATTTGCATCAATGCATAGACCTACATTCATAAACCTTTCTGAAATTTAAAGCAAGGTTTATTACTCACCTCTGGGTCTGCTTCGTATATGCATTTCGTTGTCACGAATGCCACTTCGCAAACTTCGGATATCCCTGAAAGTAGTTTCACAACGTCAAGATTAGACGTTGCTATTCCAGGCCAAAAATATGTAACATATAGGCCTAAGTTTCCAGTCATAATTTGCGTTGATTTACTTCACTTAAAACGCTTTGGAATAATAAAGGTAAAAGATTGGATATCGTGCGTCTTTCTCGTTTTGATAATAAAGAGTAAATAGAAGAGATCTAACTGGTGAACTGATCAAAATTATATGAACATTTCTAGAATTTAGCGATAATCAAACCTGTCTGGACCTACGGGATAGAGTTATGGGGATTCAGCAAACCTTCCAACACAAAAATTCTCCAAACGTTCCAGTCCATGAGACGACTAGTGAAGGCAGAATCTTAGTGAGTGTGCAGGGGTAAACTGAAAATTGTGAAAGCAGTGATACCGCTGTATTGCTTGTATTTAAATGTGATTCAGAGATATTACAACCATAGTGCTAATAAATCCGAACTACAACCCCTCATTTTCGTCACGCCTACCACCCAACACGTGACAATAATAAGAAAGGTTTCGTAAAGAAATTTCGAAGAGGCTGTATGTTTATGTATATATTAGTAAAACATTTCATGTTTTCATGAAACTACAGACCTACGTTTCATGTATCATTCGTTTGGTTTATGGTCTTCAAAATTATGAATTTGAGAAAGGTAACAAATTTTTTCGCGGATCCATTACAACAAAATTTTTCAGTACTCTATACCGTTATCACTTGTATAATTTCATGGTCCCTACTTTCCTATAACTGTTACGATTTTGGATACAAAAAAAAATTGTTATAGCTTCCAGTACTATGGTAGTGATACCGACTTGAATAAGCATCTGTTAACTGACTAGAATTTAATTTTTTTTTAATTCGCTTAGTGGGGGGTGGAGTCCAACTGGGTCCACTCGGCACGTCGGCCACTGATTAGCCTATTGTAGCCTACCCCAGATGATTATGATAATGGAGAATTTGGTGGAATTGGCAGGGGAAACCGAAGTACTCGGAGAAAACCCGCCCAAGCGCCACTTTGTCCACCACAAATCCCACTTGACCAAACCCGTGATCGTACCCGGGCCGCGGCGGTGTGATGCCAGCGACTAACCGCTTGAGCTATGGCGCGGCGAGAAGCCAGCGACTAACCGCTTGAGCTATGGCGCGGCGGTGTGATGCCAGCGACTAACCGCTTGAGCTATGGCGCGGCGAGAAGCCAGCGACTAACCGCTTGAGCTATGGCGTGGCCTGACTGCCTAGAAATTTAGACCAATGAGCGTGGAGGCGAGAACAGACGCTGATGAACATGAGCATGATGAAATAAATTTGTATTTCCTTATTAAATACAAAAAATTAACTGAAGAGGAGAGAAATTAGAATTCTACTTCCTGTCCAATCTATCAATTCAACATATATATTCAAAAGTGACGCGAAATCTACTTGAATTCAAGGCACAAAACACATTCGTACCATCCGCTGCGTTGCGACACTTCTCCATTGTAGCAATCACCCTGTCTCTGGTGTCCCCACTCAGAAGCATCTTCGCTTGTCCTATGGCTGCGTCCGGCTTATATTTCCCGCCCTTTATCTGTAAACACGGACGAGAATAATTAGTCAAGAAGTAGACCTCAGATCATGGAACGGGATGTGTGGTGTGTGGAGGCTTCAAGGTGTCTGGCTGAGCCATGCGGATCAGTTATGTAAAGTATGTTCTTTCGTACTCGTGTCTTATATTCGAAATTACTTCATTGATTTCTATTAAATTTCGTGCCGAATATATTCACTGGTTTCAGTTTATTTCATATCGGTTTAATACTATTCATGATTAATATTACAACCGAATTTAATTTCATAAATTTTCTCAGAGCAATTTAGGAGGCGGGGGGGGGAAGACTGAGGGGTCGGAGTTCGAGTCCTTTTGGGTGAAGAATTTTCTCTTCTTCAAATCGTCCAGACCGGCTCTGGGGTTCACTCAACCTCCTATTCAATAAGTACCGGAGGTAAAGCGGCCGGGGAGTGAAGCTGTCCACTTACCTTCAGCTAATGTTTAGGTCAAGAAAATGTGGGTCTATACATCAACTCCCCTATACGCCTCCATGGGGTAGCGCTAAATTCGTTGAGCACAAGGATAAATTTACCTTACTTTCACAGAGTAATTTAGTTGAACATGGACTATTGCATAATAGAAAATATAAACATCATTCGTATTGCAACTCTGTGTGAAGACTAATAAAAAAAACAAATTCCGTGATTTTAGTCCGCAAGCGAACTATACCGACCGAGCGACCGCCTCTTGTCTGCGAAGTTTCGTGCCAACTTTTACGGATAGAGGATGTCGCGTGGTCAGCACAACGAATCCCCACGGCCGTTAATTTCTATTTTCTAGACCGGAGCCGCTATTTCCTTGAAATAGCGCCCCGCAATTATCTTCACGAGGCTGAGTGGACCCCGTTCCAGACCCACTATTTCTCAGAAAAAATGGGGTAGCGGCGCGAATCGAATCCGGACCTCTGGATCTGTAGCCAGAAAAGCTGACCATTAGGCCACAGAGGCGGTGGGCGAAGGATAATGCAACACTTAAATAGAATGTCAGTTCATAGAAATCGGCTTGAGCCAAATTATAAGCCATAACGGGCCAACATGAACGAAAATTATATAAAATTACAAATATTAATGTATATTTGTCAATACGAAATCCATTAAATGATTTTAGAGGTGAGGTATAATAATTTAACTTTCTGCAGAGAAATTTCCAATGTTCTCAGCTTTATATCCTGCATTCTGCCCCATTAAGGGGCATTAGTTCTGATTGGCTGGAGAACTGAAGTGGAAATTCTGTTGTTATTAAGTCACATCTGAATCCATTACTTCAAATTTGGATGTTATGACAGTTATTTACTTTAATGGTCACTTGGAACATGTCTTGAGAGTGTTAATAGTTACATTGACTCTACAACATCGTACAGTATCGCATTAATTTTCGTCTAGAGTAAGCTGTTCTCATGAAAATTAAATTATGAGAAATATTTCAGTCAAAATATCAAGCTAAAGTATGAGAACTTACCGCCTGCATCATTCCCATGACGCACTTCGTGTAGCACTGTAATGAAGAAAGGCGATGTTAGAATCTGTATTTATTTCATCTTGCACAACAGAATTTTCGTTATTTTTCAAGTATATATTCAGTATATAGCCTTTTATTTTCCAGCTCATTAGTTACTGATATTTCTTACAGAAACTCATATTAAAATTCCTAGACATTAGAATGATATTTGAGGATGTTTGAGAACAGGGTGCTGAGGAGAATATTTGGACCGAAGAGAGATGAAGTGACAGGAGGTTGGAGAAAACTGCATAATGAGGAGCTTCATAACTTGTACTCTTCTCCAAGTATAATTAGAATTATAAGTCAAGGAGGATGAAGGTGGTAGGACATGTAGCATGAATGTGGAGAAGAGGAATGCATATAGGATATTGGTGGGAAAGCCAGAAGGAAAGAGACTACTGGGAAGACCAATACATAAGTGGGTGGACAATATTAAAATGGATGTTAGAGAAATAGGATGGGATTGTATGTATTGGATTGATCTGCCTCAGGATAGAGACCCGTGGAGGGCTCTTGTGAATATGGTAATGAACCTTCGGGTTCCATAAAATGCTGGGAAATTCTTGAGTAGCTGCAGAATTGGCTTCTCTTCAAGTAGGGCTCAGCTCCATGAGTAAGTAAATAAGTAAGTAAGTAAAACATTGGATTGATACGTTTCACTTTTAAGAAAAGGCTGAACATTGAAGGATAAAATTCGATTCACATTGCTGACGGTTGCCTTCATAACGTTCTGTGTGTATTCATTGCTAGGCTCATTCTTGCCGTTCAGTAATTACTGAAACCAGTTACGGGTGCAATAAGTTTTCTGGGCCGGCTGCACGTGTCCGTTCACACCAACTTCCGGTGTGACTTCATTTAATTTAGCCACCTTGAATATTCTGTGCTTTATGTATGTTTCATTGATCCTCAGAAATGGTAATTATAAATGACCTTTTAAACGTAGCTACAATGAGAGCATTGAAAATTGAAGGACTCTGGAAATTTAAACAAATTTCCTCACTTTAGTGGAGAATAGTATGTACAGTTATCTCTTCCACTTCAGTCGCATTTTAAACTGAAATATAAATTGAATGTTGACCTAAAAACACAGGAGAGGGCATAAATAGATACATGAAATAGAATTCATCATTTTTGTGGATCACTAAGGTCCATTATAGTGTTCACAGTAGATAAAAATTGAACCATATACTGAGCCAAATAAATCAATTCCACATTCCCAGATCTATTAATATTAGTATTAGTATTAGAGGGGGTGGTTTTCCCCATGCACTGCGACTAGTAGTCTATTGTACGTCCCCCTTTAATTTCTACTGTCGCCATACCCTACCGATACTGGTGGGTGCTATCAGACCCGCTCAGCCAGCGAGTTCGGCCTCTCGACTGGCAAATAGTACCCGATACTTCCCCCATCTACCGGAGGCATTGAAAACTACTTGGGCGGGAAACTTTTTACCTAATTTTGCTCAGAGGTCTCCTAGAGACATGAGGGTCTTTTACTTGCCATAAATGTACGACACGGGACCCACGGCTTAAAGTCCCTCCCGGAGGACTTGTTTCTTGAATTTTTCCCTTAAAAATTCCACGACCTCCGCCGAGTTTGAACCCGCGTACTACGAGTCATGAGGTGGGAACGTTATCCCTAGACTACGGAGGCCGCTTTTCCCGCACTCTATCCGACAGTGTTAATATTATAGCAAATAAATTTACCTCTTAAAAACGTGTTAAGTGCTTTTGTATGTGTAACATTGTGGCTGTTCAGAGAAATTCTTTTCGTCATTTATGTTGGTTTAGTTAGAATTCTTAACGATCACAAGTTCCCATTTAGCCAAACGAATCCCGAGGGTTCGTTCTTAGCCCCATTCCTCTCCCTACCTTGCTTCTGTCATCTGCTCCTTTCCCTTGGTGGCTACTCATCTGTCCTAAAGATAAACGCACTGCCCTCCTTCGAGACGTTGGTATGTATCTTCAAACTACACAGCGTCACGTCACAGAAGAAATTACTCATCACAATCCTCAACATTCGCAACGGAAACATTAAATTAAACCAAGTGAACCCTTCATTCATTATCCCAAGGATGAATTAGTCAGTCCTGCTAAATACGGCGTTACTTACCTTCAGATTATCGTCTTCGGGAAAGTTTCCTGCTTGAATTCCTTCCACCAATTCTGAAATTTTGAAGAAAATTGTGAGGTGTCATTCATTTTCCTACTTTATAGAACAGTCATTCGAATTGTGTCTTATAACACAGAACAGGGGTCAATAAATTCGTCCAAGTAAAATTAAGTAAAGGACTTCTAAATATAGAAAGAATCTGGAAAGGCAGTGAAGAAGAAAAGACATATTCACTCCTTCTAATGGAAACCAAAAATGTATCAAACGCATAAAAATATTTTCATTTAAGGCTTTCTGTATCATATCAGTCTATTTTACAACTTTCTACATTAATCTCTTCAGATTCGTTTTTAATGTTATCCCCTCATTCGTGAATAGGTATTCTCTTCCCTTGAGGTTTCCTTCACACCCATAGATTCTGCCCAACGCCGTCTCTTCCCTTGAGGCTTCCTTCATACCCATAGTTTCTGCCCTCCCATCTCTGAGTCGTATATATTTATTCTTATTTAATCAGCCTTGTAATATTTAATGGATACTAAATAAAACACACACAAAGGCCAAACAAAATTAGGTGTATTAATGAAATAATTGCTCTGTGACTGATATTGGCGCTCTCTAATTGAAATATCTATTAGATTCTTCATTCTGGGTCATACTTGACTGTTCTTACTGGTTCGGTTTCCGAAAAATAGGAAAATAGAAACAAACTCAGTGCAACTGACAGACCTTCCTTTCTTAGTTCTCGTGTAGTTTGTGTTTTCAGCGGATTTCTTAATGGTAAAATCTACAACACATAAATTCTTTGTCACTCTTAGTCAAGTTCATGAGATTTTTTCAAAATATTATTTCAAAATAATTCAATTTTCCATGTAGATTTATTCAAATTCATTATGGACTCATCTAAGAGAAGAGCAAATTTCTACATGATGTTCAGGCTGTGGGCCAAATGCGGTTTTCTGCTGTAAGTACTGCGAATGTTCTCTCGAGTACCTAACCAGTTCTAGCCAGCCAGAGATGACATTAGATCCAGATATATCGCTGACTACATCGGTCCTTGTTCTGAAAAAGAAACTAGACACTCAAATGCATTCAAATATCTCCGCATATCACCGTGTTCCTGAAAATTAGTTTCATAATTCTTCCAATGGATGGAATGCAAAGCTTTTAACAAGTGTAAGACAATTCACTATTACTTTTGTTTCATAACATAGAGCAATAACATAAAAATTACAAAAAGTAATAAGAGGAAAAAGAATAAATAACAACAGTGATAAATCCCAATTCAAGAGGAAATTAAGAGGAGACAGAACTCGGGTAATGCTTGCTACCCTTCAGTCCAGAACCTTTTGTCTTCTCGTCTGCCGTCTAAAAACATAAACATTAGAATATACAGAACTATAATTTTGCCTGTGGTTCTGTATGGGTGTGAAACTTGGTCTCTGACA